TGCAAAATCTCCATTCCCACCCCACTCCTGGAGGAAGGATATTGCAAAATCTCCATTCCCACCCCACTCCTGGGGGAAGGATACTGCAAAATCCCCATTCCTACCCCACTTCTGGGGGAAGGATACTGCAAAATCCTCATTCCTACCCCACTCCTGGGGGGAAGGATACTGCAAAATCCCCATTCCCACCCCACAACTGGGGGAAGGATATTGCAAATTCTCCATTCCCAGCCCACTTTGGGGCCAGCCAGAGATGGTATTTGCCGGTTCTCCGAACTGCTCAAAATTTCTGCTACCGGTTCTCCAGAACTTGTTAGGATCTGCTGAATAGCATCCCTGTTGTAGGGTTTCGTGCCTAAGCAGGGGGTTGGAACAGAAGATTTCCAAAGTCCCTTCCAACTCTGTTATTCTGGAGTCTATTCTGCTTGGCCAGTGCAGATTCTGGTTTGTTTTAAACCAGGTTGCCACCATTATTTGCATTTATTTTTGTTGGTTTGCTTTGCAGCTCCAATTTCCTTGCCGGCGGGCTGCAGGTATGATCGGTTCCCTCCCAGGATCACCGCTTCGTTGCTCGAGTTGCCTTTTGTCGTGAGTGACTTGCCGTTTTTTGGGGGGATGGGGCAGGACTGGTCTCCATCCAGGGGTTCCTCTTTGCTGTGTGCAAAAGCCTGGAGCTTCTGCAGCTGTTAGGCCCACATACGTGTGTATGTATGTGTGAGCAACGATGGCAACTCTGCAACTAGTGGACTTCAACTCCCAGAATTCCTGAGCCAGCTAATGCTGGCTCAGGAATTCTGGGAGTTGAAGTCCACCAGTTGCAAAATTGCCATTGTTGTACATACTTCTGCTTGGTGGGATGCCGTGTTATCCTCTGCACGGACAGTGGTGGGGTTCCCCCCCCAGTGCCTTTCTTGCGTGCACGCCTTGTACACGCATGTGTTAGGAAGGCTGCAGCACACTGACCCAAGTTTGCCACAGATGGATGGAGCACTGTTTGCTTGGCAAGTCCGCAGACCGTGGCGATTTCCAGGCCTTGCCCCGTTGTATCTTGCAGGCAGTCTGCGCGGGGGTCTCCAAACAACAGCCCCCTGTTCTCAGTTGCGGCCACTTGTACACCGGACCCCTGGGCAACAACTTTGTGTATTACACCAGCGCAGAAGACTTGACTTGTTTGTTCACTGCTCTGTTGGACGCAAAAGTCTTTGACAAGGAGATCACCCCGGTGAGTAGCAATAGTAGTATGTAGCAGTAGTAAGTAGCAGTAAGTAAGCAGTAAGTAAGTAGTAAGTGAGTAGTAGTAAGTAAGTAGTAACTAGCAGTAGTAGTATGTGTCTGTGGGGTCTCGCCTGTGTAATATTTTTAATTGTAAATGGATTTTAGTTGGGGTGTTTTAAACTTATTGGGCCAAAATTTTGTTTAATTCTTTTAAAAATTTTAAATTTTGTACGTGATGTTTTTATTCTTGGCTGTTCACCGCCCTGAGTCCTGTGGGAAAAGGGCGGTATAAAAATCTAATAAAATAAATAAATAAATAAATAATCCAAAGATGGAATATCTGGTCCAATTCGGTGAAAGAGATGGGTTGCATACTTTGAGGGAAGCCCTCTCTGTTTGAAGGAACCACGAAACATTTGTCTATGGAGATTCTCCATCACCCAGGTCCCAAAAGTTCTTTTCCAAGAAGCAACTGGACTTTGTTTTTCCTTGAAGACGTTTTGCTTCTCATCCAAGAAGCTTCTTCAGTTCAAAATGTTTTCAAGGCAAAAAAAAAAACCCCAAGAAAGTCCAGTTGCCTTTGGAAAAACACCAGCAAAAGCTGACTGGAAAAGTGCTTTCCTCCGTGTTCTCCTGGTTTTATTCTTTGGTGGGCCAGATCTCTTGATGGACTCTTGCAACCGAGCCCAGAAGACGGGCACCAAAATAAGGACCATGGTCTTCTCTTTGCAGACGACTATGACCACCACTGTCATCGTGGAGAACTTCCCACAGGTACGTCCTTCTTCGAAGCCTTCGCGGGTTGGTTAGATGTTCCATCTTGGGAAGCAACTGATGGATGCCTCCTGAGATCGGCAGCGTCAGGTTCCTCCCAGCGACGGAAAAGGGGAAGGGTCTTCTTCTCCTTCTGAGGTGAGCCAAGGGATCTCCTTTGGAGAGGCTCTGTCCTATGGAGCAGAAATAAATTTTATGTTTCCGAAGACAAATTATGAAGAGTCAGATTCAGATGAAAATTTGGATAAAGGGGTTGATTGATGTCAAGATAGACATGGGCAATCCTTCCCAAAGATCTGTAGACTTCAACTCCCATAATCCTCCAGCCAGGGTGGATTTCAATGCCCATAATTCCCCAGCCAGGATGGACTTCAGCTCTCAGAATTACTCAGCTATGGTGGACTTCAATTCCCATAATCCCCCAGCCAGGGTGGACTTCAACACCCATAATTCCCCAGCCAGGTTGGACAATTCCCATAATTCCCCAGCCAGGGTGGACTTCAACGCCCATAATTCCTCAACCAGGGTGGACTTCAGCTCTCAGAATTACTCAACTATGGTGGACTTCAATTCCCATAATCCCCCAGCCAGGGTGGACTTCAACTCCCATAATTCCCCAGCCAGGGTGGACTTCAATTCCCATAATTCCCCAGCCAGGGTGGATGTCAACTCCCAGAATCCCCCAGCCAGGGTGGACTTCAACTCCCATAATTCCCCATCCAGGATGGACTTCAATTCCCAGAATTCCTCAGCTAGGGTGAATTCTGGGAGTTGAAGTCCACCCACCTTAAAGTGCCCAAAGTTGAGAGACACAGCTTGGACACCCTTGGGTGAGATTCTCATCCTGTTGTCTGAGGATAAACCATGAACAAACCCTCATAACAATGGAGCCAACCAAACCAAGGTTAATGGCTCCCTTGAATCAAAGTTGAAACTGGAATGAAACAATCCACTCAGCTGGCGTTCCAGCAGTTTCCATCCTGGCTAGCTGCGGGCAAGTTGGTTTGTTCAGGGTGAGGGTGACAGACACATCAGGAGGGTCCCTGTAAATCAGGCTGTCTTCGGACCCCCAACCACATCTCTCTGGGAGTCGGCCGGCATACAAATTCCATCCTGAGGAAATGAATGATTGAGTGATTGATAGCAAGGGAGTCAAAAAAATCATGATATTACTCGTGGCCCCTCGGTGCCACCACCCTTCCAAATCCCGATTTCTTATCATTTTCTGGCAGGAAATGCATGGAAACCGTTCCACAGGTGGTCCTCGACTTACGACCACAATTAAGCCCAAGATTTGCATTGCTAAGCAAGGCAGTTGCGAAGTGAATTTTGTCCCATTGTACGATCTTGTTTGCTAAGCGAATCACTGCCGTTGTTAAGCGAGTGACATGGTTGTTAAGTGAATCTGGCCTCCCCATGGACTTTGCTCGTCAGAAGGTTGCAAAAGGGGATCACGTGACCCCCCTCCCCCTAGGACACTGTGACCGTCATAAGTATGAATCAGTTGCCAAGCACCTGAATTATGCTCACGATGCTTCAAAGGTCATAACTGTGAAAAGTGGTCGTAAGCCACTTTTTTCAGTGCTACTGTAACGTTGACCGGTCACTAAACAAACCGTTGTAAGTCAAGGACTAGCTGTAATAGCTTCCCCCCTTGCAAAGCAGGTCCAAAATTTACAAGCTTCCACATCTATCAGCAACCCAGTTGACCTATCATACGTAGGAAAGAAAAAAAAAAAAGATAACAGGTTAGATAAAAATTTATAAACGCCCATCATCCTTAGAATGAAATAACAATAAAACAATATTTGCGGTTAACACCAGATTGGACTCCCCAGAGTCCTGGTGCAAACTGATCACATCTCTTGCATACACACAAACACCTCTAATTGGGTGGGGTTTTGGTTTTGAAGTGGTGTAGGGTTTCCTGCCTATACAGGGGGTTGGACTAGAAGACCTCCAAGGTCCCTTCCAACTCTGTTATTGTTGTGATCTAGGCTTCCTGAGTCATAAAAACACACGAGTAGTCCCCAAAACCTCTTTTATTGCAACAGCAGTGAATTATGTTCATTCACAGCTGAGTCCCAATTAGTTGCAAAAAGTCCTTTGGGATAATTACCCATCTTTATCTCCCTTGACACTCTGCCAAAGACCTACTTGGCAAAGCCACACAGAGTCCAGAATCAAAGAGAGATGCCGACTGGGAACAGAATTAACAACGTTGCTTTCCTGCAAAGGGCCCACGTGCCTTTGCTCCTCTTTTAAGCCTTATTGAAGGAGCGAATCATCTCCAGGCCTTACTCCAGAGTCGTCCCTTTTGTTTTAACTGTTCTTTCCTTCTGGCAGCTCTGTGCATGTGTGCACTAGGAACAGGCTTCTCCTGTTCCTCTGCCTCTCTGCTGTCCGACTCTGGAGGCTCCGGAGTCTGCACATCACTCCCAGATGGCCCTGGCTCCATCTCTGCCTCTGACGCAGAGCTCTCGTCCGGGACTTCCCCAGACTTCAGGACTGGTCCATGTTCCTCACCAGCCTCCTCATTGTTCGACTCCACTGCCAGCTCCGCAGGCTGCTGGCGGACCACAACAATTATTCTATTTCTATTTCTAATTTCGCAATCTCCTTGAGCAGGTGAAGGTAACTTCTCTTTAACTTCTGCAGGTCAACTGCCCGAGGGGTTTGTCTGTCGTTGTTCGGATCGTGTGTACAAGCCTTAAAGCTGAGATCAGGACATCTAGTATCTATATTGATTTCGGCTTCGGGGTCACAATTGGATATGTCTCATCAGGGGGAGGATATGTCCCCGTTCTGCATTTTGTTGTGGTAAGCAGCACAACTGTCCAGCCAACTCTGGGAAAGTCCAGCCTTAATCCATGGCAGATTTATCTGGCTGGTAACTCAGTCATAGTAACTGTGAGAGGGATCTCGGAGTCCTTGTGGACGATCACTTAAGTGACCCCTGATTTAAATGATTAAACCACATCATCTCGAGGGTGCTGCTGTCCAAAATCTAAATGAGTTAGCCAGGGGTGGGCTCCTGGGGGTTTGGCAGGGTTTGGGTAATCCTTTAGCCAAGGATCTCCGGGATTCGGCGAACCCTCAAATGCCACCCCTCGCTGGCCATGCCCACGGAGCCTGGGGAGGGTGAAAAACAGGCTTCCCGGAAGTTCCAGAAATCCGGAAACGGGCCTGTTTCCGGCCTCCGGAGAGCCTCCAGACCCCAGGGGAAGCTGTTTTCAACCTCCCAGAGGCTCGAGAAAAGCCTCTGGAGCCTGGGGAGGGTGAAAAAAACAGGCTTCCCGGAAGTTCCAGAAGTCTGGAAACGGGCCCATTTCTGACCTCTGGAGGGCCTCCGGACCCCAGGAGGCTCGAGGAAAGCCTCCAGAGCCTGCAGAGGGCAAAAAACACCCCCCCCTGCTGTGGTGCAGGTGGCCGACTAGGCCACACCCACCATGGCCACTCCCACCCAGCAACGGAGCAGCAAACCCATTGCTAAAAGATCTGAGGCCCATCCCTGGATCTAGCTATTTGGCTGTAGGCTTAACCAGTCTAATAACAACATCCATATTTTAAGTTTTACATAACTTAATTTTATTCATACGTCAATTTATCATTCGTACGGCGTGTTTTTTAAATAATTAAATGTCCTGGTGTTTTATGTTTTGACACACATTTTATACACATATTTGATACACACCGTGGGGTGTGATGGCTCAGGAATTAAAGACCTGGAATCTTGTCACCTGGAGAGCTGACAGCCCGGGTTCGAGCTCCGCGCGACAGGGTGAGCTCCTGCTTTCCTTGCCTCAGCTCCTGCCCACCTAGCAGTTCAAGAGCATGCAAATGCGAGTAGATTAAGAGGTACCACTTGGGTGCGAAGGTAACCACGTCCCGTGTGCTTCAGCTTATAGTCATGCTGGCCACATGGCCACAGAAAATGTTTTTGGACAATGCTGGCTTCCTCAGCCAAAAAATGGAGATGAACATTGCACCCTAGAATTAGATGTTACTGGACAAGGGAAATCTTTACTTTTTTTTTTTTACACATTTTATATCTTGTTTTTGTGAGTTTTATGCATTAATGTATTTATGCTGTATTCTGTTATACCATACTAAATAACTAAATAACTAAGTAGCTAACTAAGTAACTAAATACCTAAATACTTAAGCAACTAAATACCCACAGTAAATAACTACATAACTAAGGTAACTACATACCTAAATAACTAAGTCACTAAATAGCTAAATACCCAAATACCTAAATAACTACCATGTTTCTCCGAAAACAAGACCTTGTCTTATATTTTTTTGAACCCTGAAATAAGCGCTTGGCCTTATTGCCATGCACTCAAAAGCCCGATTGGGCTTATTATCAGGGGATGTCTTATTTTGGGGGAAACAGGGTAAGTAGTTAAATAACTAAGTAACTAAATAACTAGTAACTAAATACCTAAATAACTAAGTCACTAAATACCTAAATACCTAAGTAACTAAATAACACATAACTTAAATAACTAAATTTCCTGATGCTTGACACACCAAATGGACTTTGACCATATTTGGTAGAATTCTTGATACTCTTTTCTTCCCCATTTGTAGACAGGAAGGTTTGGTATCCGGGCTACCATTAACTGTGCAAGGAGATTGGTCTCGATCACAATGACTACATTAAGGTAATGGATCTAAACTTGAATGGTAAGGATTGGATTATCTGGAAGTTGGAGGCAAGAAGATGTTTGAGTCGGGAAGGGGGGTGATATAAGGGTACGTGAGAAAGACCTTGAGAAACAGTGTAGAAATGCTGCATAAGGGACAGTTAGAAAAAAGATGCCTTAGCCCTCAGCTTTATAACAGGTGGAGAGAGTCACTCAGAAGAGACCCTCCCTAGTTTCTCAGGCTGTAAAGGTGACAGTGAGAGAATTGTACTTTCAGACTTGCAAGGTTTTTGCAATAGGTGGGAAAGACCTTGGGAGACGAGGAAACGAGGCACAGCCAAGGAAATGGTCAGATAACAGTCAGCTGAGCCTGCAGCTGGATAATGGGTGGAGAAAGCACACTTAGAAAGAGCCCTCCCTAGTCTCTCAATCTGTAAAGGTGACAGTGGGAGATTTCTACTTTCAGACTTCCAAGATTCCATTAATGTCACTCTACAATCAAGTAGAATTAGCTCGCCTCATTGTGTTCCCTGTCCGGATTCCCTGAGAAGGCTGCCAACGAAGAGAGATTTAGCTACACCACCTTGAATTTCTGGAGAAGGCCTGGCACAGTGGTGGGATTCAGACGGTTCGCACCACTTCGGGAGAACCGGTTGTTAACTTTCTGAGCAGTTTGGTGAACTGGTTGTTGGAAGAAATCATTAGGGCAGAGAAACGGTTGTTAAATTATTTGAATCCCACCACTGGCCTGGGGTAGAGAGCTAGATAATAAATTAGGCAGGAGAGTGGTTACAATCATTCTCTGGGAAAGGCTGGGAACTGGCTTAAGATCGGAGGAGGGTCTGGATAAGATGCTGATTACATCTTGGGTCATGATGGTTTGTTTCTCCACCCAGTGCATTCAACATTGTGGGATCCTGTGCAACGGGCTCGTGCGTAATTGATGTGAGTACGTGGCAAGGAGTACAGGAGGACAAGGGCAGGAGGCCTTGAGTCCCGTTTTTAAATTTATTTATTTATTAAATTTATATGCCGCCCCTCTCCGGAGACTCAGGGCAGCTATCAATAAAAGTCTCTTTCTCCGTATCTAGAGAATCAAAGGGATGTAGAATTAGTTCAGCTGAGATCTTGAGTTCAGCTAAGAGCCAGTTTAGTATAGTTGTTAAGGTGAAGGCTTAGAAACAGGAGATTAACAGAGAAATAGAGTCAAGATCACGTGAAGAGTTAGTACTGCTTTATAAGGCCTTGGTGAGGCCACACTTGGAATTCTGCATCCATTTTTGGTCATCACACTATAAAGAAGATATTGAGACTCTAGAAAAAGTGCAGAGAAGAGCAACCAGGATGATGAGGGGACTGGAGGCTAAAACATACGAAGAACGGTTGCAGGAACTGGGCACGGCTGGTCTATGGAAGAGAAGGACCAGGGGAGACAGGAGAGCATCTTCCAATATTTGAGGGGTTGCCCCAGAGAGGAGGAAGGGAGTCAAGCTATTCTCCAAAGCCCCTGAGGGTAGAACAAGAAGCAATGGGTGGAAACTCATCAAGGAGAGAAGCAACTTAGAACTAAGGAGACACTTCCTGACAGTTAGAACAATTAATCAGTGGAAGGACCTTCAGAAGCTGTGGGAGCTTCACCCCACTGGAGGCTTCCAAGAAGAGATTGGACTGCCATTTATCAGAAATGGTGTAGGATCTCCTGCTTGGGCGGAGCGTTGGACTAGATGACCTGCAAGGTCCCTTCCAACTCTGTTATTCAGTGGAAGGGTTTACCTCCAGAAATTGTGGGTGCTCCATCCCTGGAGGTGCTTAAGAAGAGACTGGACAGCCGTTTGTCTGAAATAACACAGGGCTTCCTGCCTGAGTAGAGGGTTGGACTAGAAGACCTCCAAGGTCCCTTCCAACTCAGTTATTCTTTGTCTTCTTCCTTTTGCAGAGTGCTGTCGCGGAAAGAGTCTTCCCTCTGGGAACATGGTGTAGACAGATATTGAGTGGTGGGTATTGCTGGCAGCCACCTTTGGTTCCAGCCACTGGTAGAATTATATTCTCTGGAGGGAGGATAGGATCATTAGTCCTGAAACTGGTTGGTCCCACTGATCACCTGCACAGGTAGATAGATACCTGTGGAGTTTCTCCCTTCTTCGTTTTCTGGAGGAAGAAGACGATGGCGTACAAGGGGCACCATCTTTGTAGACCCTCTGGGTCCATGGAGTCCCAGGAGCAGCAGTGGTTTGGGGGGTGAGAGGGAAATTTAGGAAGGCAGGAGGTTCCCGTGTAGGAGAAGAGCAGGTGGGGCTGGGGTAGTGGTGGAGTTGAACGGATTCATGTCAGGTGCAAAGAACCAGGACCAATGGTTAGATTACAGCATGGAAGATTTATTAAAGTTTATGCAGGGGGTCCTCGACGTACGACCACAGCTGAGCCCAAAATTCCTGTTGCTAAGTGAGACATTTGTTAAGAACCGTGGTGGCGCAGTGGTTAGAATGCAGCACTGCAGTCTACTTCCGCTGAGTGCCGGCTGCCAGCAGTTTGGCAGTTCAATCCTGACCGGCTCAGGGTTGACCTATCCTTCCGTCCTTGCAAGGTCGGTAAAATGAGGACCCAGATTGTTGGGGGCAAGAGGCTGACTCAGTAAACCGCTTAGAGAGGGTTGTGAAGCACTGTGAAGTGGTATATAAGTGCTATTGCTATATTTTCCTACCCTTCCTTCCTTCCTTCCTTCCTTCCTTCCTTCCTTCCTTCCTTCCTTCTTTCCCTCCCTCCCTCCTTCCTTCTTTCCTTCCTTCCTTCCTTCTTTCCTTCCTTCTGTTCTGCCCTAGCTACGGACCCCAAAGAATGCAGCACACATAAAGTCTATACAAAGCTTATTTTACTCAAATAACTTTTTTCAACCAAAGGCTGTTAATAAACATGCTTAACAGCCTACGAGAATTCTAAGATAAGGTAATCGCAGTCTTACTAGGGTTGGCAGAAAGCCCAGAAGCAATTTTGCAGAGAATCCAGACGCGAAGGAGAGTGAACGAAGTTGTTCCCTGCAAATTGCCTCAGTCGTTGTCCTTCCTTAAATAAGCTAAGGGAGTGGCCAATTAGCCCCAAGCCTTACTCTCGAGGAGACCTCCTCCTGAGGAGCCACTCCGGCCTTTTGGCAGCTCGGCGCACCCGTGCATCGAGAAGGGGCTCCTTCTCTTCTTCCTCTTCACTTATGGGAGCTTCTGGAGGTTCTGAAGGCCCTGGCTGAATCCCCGCCTCTGGCACCAGCCTCCTCACTGTCCGACCCGAGTGCCAGCTGCACAGGCTGCTAGCGCAGAACCACACCAGCCTCCTCGCTGTCGGAATCAGCTACAATCCGCACAGGCTGCTGACGGGCCACAACACCTTCCTTCCTTCCTTCCTTCCTTCCTTCCTTCCTTCCTTCCTTCCTTCCTTCCTTCCTTCCTTCCTTCCCCTTTCCCTTTCCCTTTCCCTTTCCCTTTCCCTTTCCCTTCTTTTTCCTTCCTCTCTTTTTTCTTCCTTTCTGGTAGCGTAGTGGTTAGAAGACAATATTGCAGGCTGACTCTGCCCCCAGCCTGGCGTTCGAATCTCTTCAGGCTCAAGGTTGACTCAGCCTTCTGTCCTTGCGAGATCGGTCAAATGAGGACCCAGATTGTTGGGAGAAAGAGGCTGACTCTGTAAACTGCTTAGAGAGGGCTATAAAAACATTGTGAAGCGGTATATAAGTCTAAGGGCTATTGCTAAGTGAGTTTTTCTTGACTTTATGACTGTTCTGGCCACCGTTGTTAAGTGAATCACTCCATTTGTTAAGTCAGTATCTCGGTCGTTAAGTGAGTCTGGCTTCCCCAGGGATCAGAAGGTTGCAAAAGGGGATCACATGTCCCCAGGACACTGCGACGGTCATAAATGTGAAACAGTTTCCAAGTGTCTGAATTTTGATCGATGGGGATGCTGCAACGGTCGTAAGTGTGAAAAACTTTTTTCCACTGCCGTCGTAACTTCAAACGGTCACTAAACAACGATTGTAAGTCGAGAACTTCCTGCACATGTGTTTGTAGTTGTTTGCGTCCGACAGTGGAAGATGACGCAGGATGAAAATCTCTTCCGTTCTTTTTTGAATCGTCTCTCTAGTTAACCTGAAAGAAAGAATTCACTTATTGTTACCGACCCACTTCTCCTGTGACACATGCAGCAGCGCCGTTTACCGCCAGGTGAGAGAAAAATATCTTGTTTCCAAGGGCTGGCTGGGTTTTTGTTCTGCCCCAGCTACGGACCCCAAAGAACGCAGCACACACAAACTCTATACAAAGCTTATTTACTCAAAATAACTTAGTCTTTATCATTCAAAGGCTGTTAATAAACTGTCTTAACAGCCTACAAGAAACCAAAGATAAAGTAATCAGAATCTTACTAAGGTTGGCAGAAAGCCCAGAAGCAATTTGCAGAGAATCCAGCCGCGAAGGAGAGTGAACTAAAGTTGTTCCCTACAAATTGCTTCAGTCGGCGTTCCTCCTTAAATAGGCTAAGGGAGTGGCCAATTAGCCCCAAGCCTTACTCTCAAGGAGACCTCCTTCTGAAGAACAACTCCTGCCTTTTGGCAGCTCTGCGTACCCGTGCATCGAGAAGAGGCTCCTCCTCTTCATCCTCTTCACCCATGGAAGCTTCTGGAGGTTCTGAAGATCCTGGCTGAATCCCCGCCTCTGGCACCACATCTTCTCCAGCCTCCTCACTGTCTGACTCGAGTGCCAGCTGCACAGGCTGCTGGCACAGCACCACACCAGCCTCCTCGCTGTCTGACTCGAGCGTCAGCTGCACAGGCTGCTGGTGCAGCACCACACCAGCCTCCTCGCTGTCGGAATCGGCTACAATCTGCACACGGGCCACAACATTTTTATTTTAATCTGTTTATTCTCATTTATCCACCTCTTGGCTGCCTCAGCCATCGAGGTAGATCTACAGGGGTGGTACTAACTTTACTTTCCCTACCTGTTCGCAAATGTGACTTCTGCACATGCTCAGGGCCATCCGCGCAGGGCCTTTGCTTGTGCGTACGCCATCCGTGTATGCGCCTGGCCTCAAAAATGTCCTTAAATAGGACGGCATAGAGCCAGGGATGAGAAGCGAAACGTCTTCAAAGAAAAATCAGAAAATCCAGGGTGCCTCTTGGAAAAATAAAAAAGCACCTTTGGGTTTTAACAGAAAGAAACTTATCAGTTATGTTTCCGTACAAGTTGAGCTAAAACCAAGCATGCCCCCTCTTCCTTCTTCTCGTCTTTTAGGGATGTGCCTACATCTCCTGCTCTCCAGGCTTTCGCTAGTAGAAGTCGGGCCGGAAAAGACCGTCCGAAGAGCAGGCAAAGGGGGTGTTGCTTGCTCTCCTTTGGAGCCAGGAAGGAGGCAAGCAGGAAGTCATGAATGATAGAGGTCTCTTGGTGACGCACGCAATAAATGCTTGAAATGTTTGCCTTGTTGTTTTTTTTCCCCTTCAGGGTGGGTAGCTCCAGTGTTTACGGATCTGTGGAAATTGGGATCGTAGAAACACCCAGGAGCATAGAAGAGTCCAAAGGCAGATGCATGAGTAAATGTGATAAATGTATTTATTCATATAACAAAACATATTAACTATGTACAAAGGCTGTCTTAATATCCATTAGGATAGGGGGCACACAGCGTGTGTGACCACCCCTATCAAAGATCACGTCTCGTGGAGGACAAACGTAAAAGAGAGCTTGGTGGAAAGGTTAGAGGGGGTTTTATACTCAGTGTAAGACCCTCCTCTCCACATAGGGGTGGGGGCACTTCCTGCCTCCACTAGTGTCTGTATGATACATGTGCCAATGGCTTGCAAATACTTGACAGGATCTAAAGAAGAGATTTTTGTTAAAGCATCTTTATGGGGTATTCTGGCTCTTCTGTCTTTTAGTTTAAAAAGAGTGGGGGTGGGGGGTGGGGTGTGTGGTTTTCTTACAGACGTTTCATGACCCAACTAGGGAACATCATCAGTGCTAGAAGGAAGTGGGGTTTGGAGGAGGAGGAGGAGAGGAGGAGGAAGAAGAAAGGGAGGAGGAAAAGGAGGAGAAGGACTGGGTGGTCCTTGGTGCTCACCAACTAGGGAACATCATCAGTCTAGAAGGAAGGGGGTTTGGAGGAGGGGGAGGAGGAGGAAGAGGAGGAGGAGGAGGAGGAAGAGGAAGAGGAAGAGGAAGAAGGGGAGGAGCAGTTCCTGGAGGGGGTGGGGGGGTCCTTGGTGCTCTCTGACCATGAAAGTTTTCTTGGAGACGTTTCATGACCCAACTAGGGAACATCATCAGTGCTGGAAGGAAGTGGGGTTTGGAGGAGGAGGAGGAGGAGGAGGAGGAGGAGGAGGAGGAGGAGAGGAGGAGAGAAGGAGGAAGGAGAAAGGGAGGAGGAAAAGGAGGAGAAGGACTGTGTGGTCCTTGGTGCTCACCAACTAGGGAACATCATCAGTCTAGAAGGAAGGGGGTTTGGAGGAGGGGGAGAAAGAGGAAGAGGAAGAGGAGGAGGAGGAAGAGGAGGAAGAGGAAGAAGAGGACGAGGAAGAGGAAGAGGAAGAGGAGGAAGAAGAGGAGGAGGAGGAAGAGGAGGAGGAGGAAGAGGAAGAGGGAGGAAGAGGAAGAGGAGGAAGAGGAAGAGGAAGAGGAGGAAGAGGAAGAGGAGGAAGGGGAGGAGCAGTTCCTGGAGGGGGTGGAGGGGGTCCTTGGTGCTCTCTGACCATGAAAGTTTTCTTGGAGACGTTTTATGACCCAACTATGTAGCGTCATCAGCGCTAAAGGGTGAGGGGGGGGTTTGCTCCCTGTTTCTATCCAAGTGGCTTGCCCTGTCGGTGTTGGTGAGGCGTTTTTAACCTTTTGTCAACGGGAAACAACGAAGAAAACTTTTCCTCGTTCCTGAGATTCTTTTTCATCGGCAAACAGCCGACGGTCACCCTCTGTTGCCACCCATCACTCCTATTTTATGGAGCGACACCTGGCAGCCTTATGGCAGAACAAATCTGATTTCCAATTACGATTTCATGGCTTTGCATAGATCCCCCAACTGCTCGGGAAACACCCCAGAGCCTCAGTCCTTCAGATTACAGTATTTCTATATTATTTTTCAGGCCCTACAATCTGTTCCCGTTCCGCTCAGCACCATTTCATTGCAAAATGGCCCCTTAAGTGCCTCTTGTTACTTGTCATTATTTTGTCCGTATTTTTAACACGATTGATTTTTAATTTTTTTTATTTTTTGCCATTCAGGAAAAAGGAAGAAATAACGAGGGTGCTTCAGAAAACGGATGCTTGTTAGCAGTTTATGAGCTGAGCTAAAAAAGGAATACTGCAAGTAGAACTCGACACTCCTGCGCTTAGTGCATATTCAACAGACCTTCCTACTCCTGTTTCGCCCCACAACAACAGTCCTGTGTGAGGTGGGCTGGGCTGAGAGAAAGAAATTTGCCCAAAGTCACCTAGGCTAAGGCAGGACTAGAACTCACAGTCTCTGATCATTGGCCCAAAATCAGTCAGTGGGTTTCTTGCCTAAGGCGGGACTAGAACTCACAGGTTCCTGGTCATTGGCCCATAATTAACCAGTGGCTTTCATGTCTAAGGTGGGACTAGAATTCACTGTCTCCTGTTGATTGGTCCAAAGTCACCCAGTGGCTTTCATGCCTAATCCAGAACTCGAACTCACAGCTGCCTGGTCATTGGCCCAAAATCAGCCAGTGGCTTTTGTGCCTAAGAAGGAACTAAAACTCACCGTCTTCTAGTGATTGGCCCGAAGTCCCCTAGTGGCTTTCATGCCTAAGGCAGGACTAGAACTCACAGCCTCCTGGTGATTGGCTGAAAGTCACCCAGGGGCTTTCATGCCTAATCCAGAACTAGAACTCACAGCTGCCTGGTCATTGGCCCAAAATCAGCCAGTGGGTTTCCTGCCTAAGGCGGGACTAGAACTCACAGGCTCCTGGTGATTGGCTGAAAGTCGCCCAGGGGCTTTCATGCCTAATCCAGAACTAGAACTCACAGCTTCCTGGTCATTGGCCGCAAATTAAGAATTAATCAGTGGGGAACGGATTGCCTCCAGAAGTTGTAGGATGCTCCATCCCTGGAGGTTTTTAGGAAAAGAGTAGAATGGCATAGGGGTCTCTGCTTGAGCAGGGGGTTGGACTAGAAGACCTCCAAGGTCCCTTCAGGTCTTATTGATTGACTGATTTTGTAGAATGTATTAGGAGTCATTTGCTTGCTCAAAGCACGGGGGTTTCCTGGGTTTATTTATCCGGAGAGGCAAGCATTTCTGATGTGTTTTAAAAAGCCTCTTTCCTTCCAATCTTCGCACGAGCCCCGCACCATGAATCACTCCTCGTTTTCAGCGTGTGGGTCTGGTTTGGGTTGTAAAATTTCCTATTAGTGTCAAGCCCTGCTAAATAGCCGGCAGCATCCTTCCCGCGTTTTGTCATTCCGAACACTCGGCTTCCTTTAATGGAGGAGAACCGGAGGTGGGCGTACCTCCTGACCTATGCTGCCGACGCAGAAGTGATGGGATTTAATGCGCCAAGCGTCGGTTTAGCAAATCCGTAGCTACGAGGGAGAAGCTGGCTTTCGGAGGAGGAAGACCCGTGGCCCTTTTTCTGTGGCTGAGTGACGTGGCCTTTTGGCAGGCAAGGAAGTTGGCGTAGTAGCTAAAGATCAAATATGGCTTGTTAGGTCCATGTAAATTTTCCAATGAGACAAACCGAGACAGGAATAGGATAGAATAACAAGAGATGGAAGGGACCTTGGAGGTCTTCTAGTCCAACCCCCTCCTCAGGCAGGAAACCCTAGACATGCCCTCGTCACCTCTCGTCTGGACTATTGTAACGCTCTCCACATGGGGCTCCCTTGAGGTGCACTCAGAGGCTCCAACTGGCGCAGAGTGCGGCCGCGCAGGTGGTTATGGGAGCGACGTGGATTTATTTATTTAGCGTATGGCTGGTCACACACAGTATTAAAACACTTCATTTTTACAGGTTAAAAACAATAAAAACAATAAAAAAACAGTAAGAAAACCTAAAAGGAAAACAGAAATAACATTTCAAAGTTTAATGTCGAGTTTGGAGATCCAGTCAGTAGCTGCAGAGGAGGTCCCTAGAATCTCCTGGATACCTTCTGTTAGGGCATTCCCTCACTATGTGCTGGATAGTCTGTCGAGGGGCCCCGCAATCACATTGTGCTGAAGGTGTCTTTCCCCATTTATACAGGGAGTCAGCACACACCCCATGAGTTGTTCTAATTCTATTATATGTCACCCATATGTGTCGGGGTAGGCTAAATCCTGGAGGTCTACTACTAGGACTGGTATGCTTGGAGACATCTTGGGGGGAACAGCTATTCTAGCCTCCATCCACTTTTGTGTGGTGTTCTGATCATCGGCCATCAACTTACGCGCTGTCAAGATTGGTGGATTTCTTGACTTTAATCGGCATCTTAAGAGATCAGGAATGTATCCATGTATGGGTAGAGAGGAATTTAACAGGATTTACTATACTCCCGAATGAGAGCTTCTTGTCGTCGTAAGTGCGGGGGGAGTATGTGACTAAGAACTGGTAACCAGTAACTAGGTGTAGATTTATGCACCCAGTGGAGGCAAAGTTACTCGTGTCCGTGGCAATCCTTAAGTCACACGTGCCTCCTGGGTGGTGCTAAATGAGTAACAGACGGACTGGTAGCCAGACATCCGCGAGGATCTCCTGGCTTCACACACAACCCCACGGTCCTTTTAAGGACCTTTTAAGTCCAAAAAAACTAGCAGAAACAGCAGGATGGAGTTCCCATGTAACACCTCTCCTGCACGAGCTGCACTGGCTCCCGGTGGTCTTCCGGGTGTGATTCAAGGTCTGGTTACCACCTTTAGAGTGCTCCATGGCTTAGGACCTGGTTATCTACGAGACCACCTGCTGCCACCAATAGCCTCCCACCGGCCAGTACGGTCCCATAGAGAGGGGCTCCTCCGGGTGCTGTCGGCCAAACAATGTTGACTGGTAGCCCCATGGGGAGAGCCTTCTCTGTGGGGGCACCTACGATCTGGAACGAGCTCCCCCCGGAGATACGGAGGATCCCGGATCTGCGCACCTTCCGCCGCGCGCTTAAGACTTTTTTATTTCATCAAGCTGGGCCTGGCCTAAATCTTCTCCCCTTTTTAAATGTAAATTTTAATTTGTTTTTAAATTATGGGGTATTTTAAATTCAGCCAAATTATTTAATTCGTTTTTAATTTATTTTAAATTTTTGTATTTATGTGTTTTTATCTTGTGGCTGTTCACTGCCCTGAGTCCTTCGGGAGAAGGGCGGTATAGAAATTTAATAAAATAAAATAAAAATAAAATAAATAGACAACATCTTCTTAAAAACTCCAACTGCATCTCAGAGACACCCAGAGAGACTCCTGAGATACACCTGA